AGACTGGCACTACTCGCTCCAAACACTCGGTCTCGCACCTCTGTGTTGCTTACGTGATGCTGCCACCACACCCAAGCAATCCTTCGTAGACAGCGACTGTCGAAGATTGACAGCCGCTTCATGTCTTCCCAGCGAATATGCCAAGTCTCACAGCCGTACAAGAGTACTGCACTGACGAATGCATTGTACACCCTTCCCTTGAGCTTGAGACTGACATCACGACGACGCCATGAACGCCTCGGATTGATGAATGCAGGGCGGACCTTTGCAATCCGTTGTGAGACTCCATCTCCAACATCGCCACCAGCCGTGATGCAACTCCCTAGATACGTAAAGCAAGGGACTTGCTCCAGAACATGTCCAGCAATGGTGAGCGCGGGTTCAGGCATCTGTCAGTCCTGGAGCAGCGTTTTATATTTTCCTAGGGTGAAGCATAAGCCGTACTTAGACGCCTCCATCACTAAGCGGTCCGAAGCGCTCCGGATGGTTTGTGGGTCTTCCCCAGCAAGGCGATATCATCGGCCTAGTCCAAGTCCGTGACTCTGTCTCCAGAGATAAGCTCAAGACCTCAGTTCTGCACACTTCAGTGCTCTTTGGACAACATCTTCGATAGCGAAATTGAAGAGGAAAGGTGAAATAGGACAACCTTGGCGAACACTGCTGGTCACAGCAAATGAAGAAGAGGGCGTGCCGTAAGCCCTGACTTTGCCCGACGTGTGACTGTAAAGTTCTTTCAGGATGGTTACAAACTTGTCGGACACATCTTTCTTCAGTAGACAGTTCCACAAAGCATATTTATCTACTGAATCAAATGTCGCTCGGATGTCCAAAAACACAGCGATTGTTGGCCTCCGGTGGATGTGACGAAGTTCGAGAATCTGGCGATGCTTGAAGAACTGGTCAATGCAGCCGCGGCCTGGACGAAACCCGGCTTCTTCTTTTCGGGAAAACTATTCTGTAGTCGTTGAAAGCCTGCGAAAGTGGGACAGACACGAAGATTTTGGATACAACAGAGATCAATTAGATCCCGCGGTACTTGCAGTAATCGTCGTACCAGCCTTTCTTGTGAATCGGAACAATGACCGATTCTCTCCATGAGTTTGGAACCTTCTCCTCAGTCCAAACTTTCTTGAACAGGGATGGGATTCCGCTGACAAGTACACTCCCACCATCTTTGAATATAGCACCTGGTAGGCTGTCGGGACCCGGAGCCTTGTGGCGTTTCAAAGATTGAATTTCATTTCGGATCTCCACTTCATTTGGGGGGGATGTGGGGACAGGCCAAGCACCATCCATTGGGGCTGGAGGTGTCACAGGGGGCTGTGTTGAGTGTTTGGATTGAAGAGCGAAATGCTCTGCCCAGCGACCCAATCGCCTGCGAAGGTTAGTGATCTTCGTGCAGTCCGATTCTCAACGCTTCTGGCTGATAGCGTGGGAATTGCAACCGGTGGCCCTGATGATGCAAAATAGATGGCGGAAGTTGCCAGCTGATGCCGCAACTTCTATCTCATCAGCTTGTTTTGACCACGAAGATACACGATCAGAGCGAATGCTTTCTTTCAGCTGTTGTGTAATAGACCGGCGGTGTTCGTTGTACTCTGCGCCAACAGGTACTGCCCGTCGGCCATCCAGCAATTTCGAGGATCTTCCTGAGATCCAGCTTTTAAGAGTGGAGTGATCGAAGCCACAGCTGGACAAACTGGCCGACAGCAAAGCTTGTTGCAGACTTGACCAGTGTTGATCAACATCTAGAGAGTGAAAAAGAACGAGATTTGCAAGAAGCCTTTGACGATACTCCTTCTTCACCATTGGGTCCTCCAACTTGTACGTATTCAGTCGGGTGTTATGACCTAGGTAAACCACCGAAAGGCATGCGAACGGTCGCACATACCAGTGAATGATCGGTATCGAAGCATGTTGACCAAAATGATCGGCAGCCGCGTACGCTGCCGCGCCACCTGCAACTTATAGCTATGTGATCAATCTGTGACCAGCGCTGGGTTGATGATTGGGGGCGCCAAGTGGCGTACTGGCTTCCAGGATGACGATAGCTGGTGCTGGAGTGGAATAGCTGATGAAAAGCACACAGACTGAGCAGTCTCTCTCCGTTGTCTGAGCGAACGTCATCATCTCCATGCGGTCCGCCGAGGTGGCGCTCACATGGCAGCAGACGACCGACACGCGCGTTGAAGTCTCTTGCTAAATCAATGTCTGTTTAAGGAGCCCTTAGGAACAGCTCATGAAGGTTCTGATAGGACTGGTCTTTTGCTGTGTCCGAGCTACAGTCAGTGGGCACGTAGGCAGAGATCACAAGGAGAGCACGCTTTTCGACTCCACGTCTGCTAACTTTACAATAGCCATGGAGCCTCATCACACAAAGGCGACTATTGATCGGAATCCAGTCAATCAAAGCAGTCTCAGCCCTAGCACTGAGGGCGATTGCAACACCAGCTTGCTCAGATGCGGCAGGCTCGGCGGCACCAGAGAGGCGGAGATGAAAGCGGGTGCTTGGGTGGAGCGGTGACGTCAGCTGGTAGACCGAATTAGAGTCCTGGAGTCGTGTTTCATTCAGGCAGCGGATATCAATTCCAAGAGTCTCTAGCGCACTTGAAAGTTCAGCTTGCTGACCGATCTGCAGTAATGTGCGTTCGTTGAAGTCTGCAAGTTTGAACTACGTTCCGGGTTTCAGGAGAGAAGATGGGAGAGTTTGGGACTGCAGCTCTCTGTTGAGCCCTGTGTGGTTGAGTTGGCGGATGTCACGGGAACAGGTTCATCGGTGTAGGTGGGGTTGATCGCCAGAGAGGAAGCGGGTAAAAATGAGTGTGAATGGTACAAGGGAAGGGTGGGTAAAATGATGACGTGTGCTTGTGAAGCTGGCGTAGTAACATGAGCGTATAGCATCGTAGCAGCAAGAGCGTGAGTGAATAGTTGTGGTTGCAAGTCCACGGTTCGTCAGTGGGCGATATACTACCCGGTTGCCCAGGCCGAAGTAGAGGGTTGTCTTAGGGAGCCCCACCCCGAGCTTTTGATCAAAAGTAAAAGTTTCGGCAACATTCTCTCTGGTTATATTGCGTGGCCAACTTGAACTGTTGACTTGTTGGGTTACCACAGTGTCTCATCATCATCATACACGTTAGCTAGAGGTGGGAAACACCTCAGCTACTGTGCCGCAATACAAAGAAAAAAGGAGAGAGAGAGAGAGAGAAAAAAACAACTGGTGAAAGCTGGCTGAGCTACCGGTAACGGATGGGCATCGTTCCGGTAAGCTACCAGCCGGCTGCTGTGCTCCAAAAAAAAATTATTATGCAAAATTATATAAGGCTAAGTAATGAGATACCACAGTGTCTGGTAAGCCATTATTAGGTCGCTGTGTATGCCCACGCCGACGATAACCGCTGCAGAGTTTGGGGCTCTCAGCCTAAGCTAACATGGAATGTGGAACCGTCCATTGACCTGCTTGATGAATTATCGAGCGTTATGTGATCATGTTTGTGCCAGGGCTGCCAGGTCTGGATGATGTACTCCAGTTGAGGCCACACACATGTATTAGAATGAATCAAGGGAGGCAGAATTTGAGTAAAGAATTCTTTTCGGTCATTCTCATCGGACTCAAACATTACATGATGAGGAAGAAGTGCTAAATGTGCCGGATTGGGCTACGTATTGAACAGAATGTTTAATTCCACGGGTACAAATAAATACATCACGGGGTCATTGTAAGTGGCAAGTGTGTACAGGGGAAATCACATCCGAAGTTGTAGGCCACGGTAGAAGTAAATGACGTACAAACTGTTTTTGTACGCACAATTCTGGCTTGAGGTGACGGATGTAGATAGCTTCAGCGATAGACAAAAGATGCATCCGGAATCCGCGCGTGAAACGTTCAGGAACAGTATAGATGACTCTAAAATCGTTTTCCGTTCCTGGGTGATTGCACTCTAGAAGGTGAGATAAGATGGAACTGTTAGTCGACCTTGCTTCACCCTTGTAAAACCATTTTGATTCATTCTAATAAATGGGAATTTTTGGATTGCTGAGGATCAGCATTCCCCATGATTCAGCCACACACATGTGTTAATCATTCGCGGGTACATAGATGGCTCAGACCGCTCCGATGCCCTTCATGCGATGGCAGTTCGTTGGTTTCCACTGACACCATCTCAGATTGCTTTGAGCAGCCCAGACCAGCCTGGATTAAACCCCCAATTTCTTGATCCTGAATAACTATTTGCATAATACCGTCTCCAAACTTGTATATGATGCACAGCAGCTTACGAATGTGGATCAAAGCACGTCCGAAGGAATCAAACTGAAACGGATTCTGGACGGGCCATTCGGCGTGTTAGTGTTCTATTGTTGTTGTGGACATAGCCGGCACTGTCGTCAGGCCCGAATCGGTAGACCCAATGCAAATCTATCTCGATTGCTTGTAAACACAGATAACCTACGGATTCGACTGAAGCTGATGGCTTGGGCAGCAACGTGAATTCTATGTTCAGAAAAGGTCGTAGGATAAATTGTCCTTAGCATGATGAAGTCGCCTTAAAGAGTCACATGCAAAACTATTCAGTCCATTGGCTCTCTTATTTGGTTGCCTGTTTAAAAGTCCTCATGGGTAGCGGTTTTCCCCCAGTTTGGTTGCACTACACAGGGATACATAAACACAGATTAGCCGTTCATCGGCAAGGTGAGAATCACTGACATCGTTGCATATAGACACCGAATGTATGGAGACCTGGACAGCCACAAAATCCTTGAAAGGGCAAACAGTCTACAAGGACTTTAGCTTGTGGTAGCCTGGTATTTGACGTGGAACTATCAATAAACGTTTGAACCTAGATTGACTTAGCAGACTTTGTGAACCAGACTCAGAAAGCCGCATTTATGCTGCTACTTAGACTGACAACGAGGTCTGCAAACCGATCTACCAAATAGGAGAGCAGTTTAAACTTCACAACCTCGCCGCGCGCTACACATATTCATGACTATTTCCATTACAGACCGTATAATTGATGTAATACAAGGCAATAAGGAAGACAAGCAGCAACCAATCATCGGAAACCAATATCCAAAGCTGCATAGAGTATCACTGAAAGAAAACTGTCTCTTTAGTGCTAGGTTGGTTTCTTCTGACTACCGTTTGTTCCTGACCGGGTGGTGCTAGGACACTGCACGATTCCTGATCTTGAATCTTTGCTTAGAACTTCTGACATTAGGCCCACGTCACATCTCTCCGTATCTCTTGTCAATAAGGTCACTACTTTAGACTCATGAGGGTGGAGTAGCGGAACCCCATTACACAGGTCTGATCTGATGCAACCGTTGCGAATAATTGTGGTGGTGCTCATAATTGTCAAACGTTTGTTGCATAACGCACAGGAGTCATCGGTGAACGTAAACTATTTGACACTGCATTCTCTTTCGGACACGGCTTGGTGTTTGTTGGTCTACGTCTTAGAGATACTGGAACGATGTTTTTATGCGCAAGAATCTGAATGATCCGTATCTAATTTTTGTAAACAAAGTATGGTGCTGCGGATTTGAACAAAGCGTAGAATCACCTAGTTAACCGAGAAGTCATATCCGGATATGGATTGTGTTGTTATTTCACAAAGGGTTAGCACCTTACTCCAAAAACAAACCACAACACCACCCGGACTACCACAATGTAAAAGGGTGACATGATTAAAATAATGCTTGCCCCCAAGCGGAGCCAAGTCCTGAAAACAATGAATGGAAGTGCATTTGGGCAAACATTCAAAGTGGAATAAGACAGTCGAGCAAAGTTTATAAGGCAAACCAGTTGTCCAGAAAACCGAACAATCTGGGAAGTGCCCGTATCTGAGTTCGAAGCGGGAAATGTTGGACAAAGAGCATGAACTCACCGGACAGATGTGACAGCAAGACTGACCCACCAGCGCACCAGTTCAAACTGAGCATGCAATACCTATATTGCCAAACTAAGTCGGAACGCGTCGCACTTTCGAGTGTGCTCGTAAAAGACGACCTGAAGTGTGGGATTGAACAAGTCCGAAAACGGAGACAAACTACGGAACAGGATAAACTGGGATGATGTGTGTTTGTCTGAGTAACATTTGTAGTTGTTGGGCTAAAAGGTACAATGCAAAGTTCGGACGGAAATAGTGATGCACTCAGGAAGCCGAAATGCTCGGTACAGCTTTTTAAAAGAAGTTGGCAATCACTGGGCTGTGCTTTTTGTCGCTACACAGAATGAGCAATAGTCATCCCTGTAGGCGCCCTAGGACAATGGAACGGCTATTATCCCCGGAAATAACTCTTGATGATGCTGTGGAGTGAGCATTGCATCCAACAGCTTCTTGAACATATGCTACTTACCAAGTACGATAGCCGCTTGAAGGCTATTCCCAACCGACATATGCGTATACATAGGACGTTGCGTAGTTATTAGCTTAACTGTGGTTCTCTGTCTGTTTCAACTCCTAGTATCTCCGACTCATCTTTTCACTTCGTTTTAGCAAATTGCACTGCTTAGTATCTTTCTCGGCCGCTACACTAGAATGTGACCTTGAAGCAACACCATGGCTCAGAGCCGGATGGACGTAAACATTTGGCCTGCTATCGTATGATAAGCGACGCATATCTGTCTCATTTTTATTGCTCGGCATCATCATCAGCATCATCATCAACAGCAGTACGTCCCGCATGCCAGAGCTAGAGACACATGATGGCTCGCTCCCTTCTCATCCACCAAGACACGAGCACACAATGCGCGATCACGAGAACGTGAGACACAACTGAGAGGGCACACACACTGAGACGAGAGTGGCGCACTCTACTCAGACACCTGACATGCAACCTTCGACGCGACACCTGCCACTCTCAGGAGCTCCGACGAGTCCCGAGCCCTACATCAAACTCTCTGAACGCGTAAGTGCTTCACAACACCGTCAGCACACACTCGTCGACCTACCTCAGCTGCTCTCAAATCTCTAGTGCGGGCGACACTGCGTAGGCGCGCAGCTCAGCGAGCACCTTGCAACCTATTCCACTTCCCACTGCATTCCTTACCTCCAGATCTACATTCTTCGCAGTCACACTCAATCCAACACATCACAACACACGAGCAGCGCGCTTACTCCGCTAATTGCGCAGATCAGTTCAGGGCGAGACTACAACGACAGCGAAGACTAGCAGCTCAACAGCAGTCGCAGATCTTGCACAGCCATACATGTGCCGACTAACGAAGCTCTCCACGCAACTCCTTCTCCGCGAAATATATCAAGTAGGACGATCTCCGAGCAATGCCCAGTCATGCACGTGAGCGGGCCAGAGCCGCCACGGTTTCGTCGACGGATCTTGTGAGAGCACAGCATAGCACGTGCGCACAGAGCCTACCACATGTGCGGCTATCTCCAGACTGTTCTTCGCGGATCACACAGAGTGCGTCTCCATCTCAATCTATGAGAGATGCAAAGTGAAGTTCCGACGTCGACCAGTCATGTGATATCCCTGACTTATCGCGCAGTAACTTAGCACAGATCAAATTACACACCGTTGAATATACAGTTGATACGTCAAGAGCGGACATGTCCCACACACAGACTCGAGACTACTCGCGTAGTCAGCCAAGCGGTAAAAGTATGCACATACATAGATCAAACACCGATCGACCTCATCCCTCGATCAGTATAGATGACATGAGGTTTAGAATTGAACATCGAGGAGTATGACGACTATCTCAACCTCAGCTTGGTATACAGTACGCAATCCCTAGGCAGCATAATGCATATCACACTTATGTGATGTAGTATATACTAGAGGCTGCCCCGTAAACTTCTCTACTTCAACAGATTCTACCTTACACGAGTAGGTGTATTTATTGAGAGCTGTTGTGATAACAATGACATGAGTGAGATCTATGCGATCAGAGAATTAAATGACTCTAGATCTATAACGAGAGCGCTAAGGCTACTAGTAGATCATCTGCGTCTCACCGAAGATATACACTATCATCTAACCTAGCGAGTGACGGAAGGAGAGAGTTGGGTAGGGCAGACAAGACATTCACACTAAAAAATCGATAGTCCACACTAAAAACGCTATTAAAGATTAGTGTTTTGGAAGTTAATGTATATGTGTGATTGACACACACAATGTGTGCAGATATGGAAAGAGTCTTAGCAAATCTGTATGACGACACATACACAATGTCTACACAGAGAAAGTGACTAAGTGCGCTTAACATATTCAACTTATTGATCACTGCTGTATTCTCACATCACAACGGTATGGTGAGGCAGATTAGTGCACAGAAAACAGTAACACAAAAGCTGTTAGTGTATTGAGAGAGTCTAGACGGGACAACAACACACATGGATATAGTATTAGTGGTGATCACAAGGGCAACTCTCTTAGTCTGACGATCAAGTCTGATTCACAGTGACTTTTTATACGAAGTATCACGACTTGCACACTTACGATCTCACAGTATTCTAGTAAAGTATATATTTCAGCTTGTAAAGGTGTAGAGCGACGTAATAAGCCGAATAAGGTTCTAGTAGTCTACTGCTCTAACTTATTGCGTCAGTGAGATTGACTGGAGCGATAGGTCACATGACTACAGAGTATAGAGGTAGTAGAAGGAGCGAGTGGACAGATACTGTGGGTGCGATACGACAGCTCCATGTTTGGTGAGTAAACTGACATGAGCATTCTTCTTCAAGTAATATGATAAACCACAGTTATCTAAGAACAGTGCAACACACAGCTTTGTGTACACAGCTGAAGATAATTATGTTTAATATATTCCGTGAGAGATGAGCGCTGGTACAGGAGCAAACACAAGCAGATACATGACGGGCGTTATATATATATACTGACAGAGACCAACTCCATGTGTGACACATGGTGAGAGTGACGTGATATCCTGGCCGCTATTATAGTTCGTGTGAGTGTACGGCAACTCTACAGCGAGAATTGAGAGATAATCATATCAGGTGAGGAGGTTGCGCGAGTAGCTTTACAACTGTTGTGAAATTAAGTGCACCGAGGTGTCTAATCGGATGCTCATGACATACTTTACTGATGTCTTCAACGAGGCGCGTGACTATATAACAGCTAAAGAATATATGGACTAACAAGGTGTATTAGGAGGTACACATGGTGACGTACTTATCCTGGTGTGTTGCAAGATATGTACAATTAAATGCAGTGATATCACAGCTGGACACTACATGCAAGTGAGGACGTGTGATGAGATAGCAGACTACGTGTCAGCATTTGTGCAGAGAGAGTGCACGTCTACATATAGTATTCTCTTTCTCTAGGCGAGGGAGTGTCACAAATTGGACTGTTTCTATGATTGAGCAGTGGGGATATGTAGCTTATAACATAGTCATCAGTATTATGTTCTGAGGACACGTACGTCTTGATGATATTAATGTATAGAGGCGACGAGGGATACGCATTTTCACAGTTTATACGATAGGACAACATATACAGATCAGGTGGTTATTGGTAGTGCGAGCATCACAAGTGATCAACAACTCTGCGATTATAAGAGCTGGGGTGGCGTGAGGTTGTGGTGCACGGAAGTTGGGAGCGAGTGACACAGAGGACAGGTAGAAGATAACAACATGAATTATGATAGTGCTACAGTGAGGAGATGGGTATGACAGAGAATGGTGAAGACTTACAGACGCGAGAGATCATGGCACTAGTGCTGCGACTACACAGAAGTACATCACACTAGAACTGTAGTTACATCAACACAGTCGTGGGCAATCTGAGTAGTATTAGACATAGTACATGATAGACTGAGTGTTGATGGAGTAGATGAGGGAGACATCTACGAGATTTAGTCTAAATGGAGGATGTATTACGTTCGTGGTCATGTCACATCGTGCAACAGATCGCGGCTAGTACTGTTTAACTGCTAGTTGTGACACGAGTATGAAGAACTTACATGTATGTATGAGATAAGAGAGACTAGGGTGAAGGTATGTATTTTGATCGCACGTGGAGTGTGTGTCATGCGTGAAGAGTATGGCTGGGAAGTGTGTGTGAGTTGTCGACGACACGTCTGAGGTCTATAGGATCGGATGAGGTGAGTGAGTTTGTCTACAGATTTATACTAAAGA